AGCAATCATCGAGCATCAACGGAGCTTTTCTCGGACTGGCGCAAAAAGGAGTGCGCTAACTTCATTCCATCCCGAGCTGGACACGATTTCGTACTGCAGCTGCCTCTGTTCGCTTCGTTAGTTCTTGGAGTGGACGGTCGGCGAAGGATGCTCGGCTGGAGGGAATTGTTACGGAGAAAAATTTTCCTCCAGGGATTCATACTCATGAACCAAAATCCCCCACCTCTTTCGATGGGATTTGACTTTCGATAAGTATACTTCAGTTGGAAAGTCAGCGTGGATTGTTGAAATTGCTATAGACAAAGATATATACAAAGAAGACATAAGGAGTATGGAGCGGTCCTGAAGGTTGAATTGCGGGTGGTTCTTAGAGACCGGGGGAGAAAATGATGGACTAACAATAGGGTACCTCATGGGTCACTGGAAAAAAACCACATTGGATCTAGAGTCCAGACTCTTAAAAACATTGACAAGACAAGAAAGAATACTCTTGATTCAATCAGATTTAAGCTTAAATCAAGAACCAAGCCTCTTAATTTGAGCGGATTTCCTTTTGATTTAAGCTTAAATCTGATTGAATCAAGAGTCCTTTTTCTTGTCAATGTTTTCAAGAGTCTGGACTCTAGATCCAATGTGTTTTTTCCCCAGTGGTTGCTGTTAGTGAGTCAATTACCTACCGACTTTGTCTACGCGACCATTTGCTTCCATCGATTGGATCCCTCCATATCCTTTTTGTCTTATTTGTCTATCGCTTTGTTCACCGATTTATCGAGTTGTCCCTTTTCAAGTCTCCGAAGGGCCTCTTTTACTCGACAATACTTCACAAAATTCAATTGTGATCATGCAGGGATGGAATTTCGCGAAACAATGTTTTGAGAGAATTTGCGTTATCGAAGAAACGATAAACACGCTCATCATTCACTCGAACGGCACAATGAATCATGCTTAAAATAACATTTTTAATTCGCTCGTTGACCAAAAAATTTTAAAATTTTGCGAAATTGATTAGTGTTTAATTCTCCAAAACTGAAAATATTATGATAGCTATATCCGGTTTATTATCGCCGTAATTACACGACCATTAACATTTTAAATTAATGATGACAGAAAATGCCAAGCGAGAAGAAAACAATCTCTCAGAATCATTTAAACGTCAAGTTCAAGTTTCAGAGCCTGTTTGAGAATAAGGGTGCAGAAATACAATTTTGAGGGCTCGCGTTGCTTTGTTGCGGGTATCTACAAGCGGATACGGTCGAGTGTACTTTTTAAATTATTTTGATCCCATTATTGATAAGTAAATTGACAATTAAATGTTTAACACAACGAGGTGTAAACGCTAAACAAACCATTTAATTAAAAACTGGAAATAGTCATAAAAAAACGAAAAATACAAGGAAGTCTAATTCAGGCCAAAATATTTGCAGCCTAAGAACGGGCCAGTAAAAGGTACCACGTCGAGTTTAAAATCTCAGCATTTTTTACGCGATGACAAGTCTTAATTTATCGAGTACAAGAGCCACTTGTCACACAAGCTGGTGTACAAGTGTACATACAGGTGCAGATGTCAGCAGATAAATGCTTCCGAATCATAAAACGAAAAGAATGAAATAAAATTAGAAACGAGTTGGTATCCGGTTGGTTGCTCTTGAAGACGTCTCAAAATCGAGCAAATTTTTGAGGTCATTTCGTCGACTGCAAACAGAGTGACCACAGTTGAGATTTAATTAATACCTAAACTGATTCATATTAAAACTCTGATTTATTTGTGTCGTTTGAATCAACCCTCGGGATTCTAATTTTACTGCGGCTATGATTATTGATTCCTGAACTGGTTCGAGCCCGAAGCGCGATACAAGTAGGGATAGAGAAAATAATTCCGGTGCACGGGATGGCAAGACCGCGCGAGAAACCAGTTAAAAAACCAGTCACAAGATGACATGAATCTGGAATGCACTGATGAGCGAGAGCATTCGCGCTGGAGTTAGTAAATCTCTCTTCCTGTCAAATAAATCGCCGGCTAAGTTCACCCGAAATAGGCTGCCCCAACCTCCTGGAGCCCGGGGTTTTCGAGGGGTTTCGGGGCACCGCCGCGTACGATTTTTCAACTTTTTCACGTCGTTAAAATTCCACGTCCTCCCGAGCATTTCGTTGCACTTGCGCACTTTTCTCGTGAGAAGTCTCCCTCGACACGCACGCCTCGCTGCCCCCTTGTCGGGGGACAGTGGTTTCAAAATCCCCCCCCCCTTGCGGGGGGTGAGGGGGAAGGGCAAGTTCGAATTCACACGTCGAAGGTACGCGCCGCGCACTCACGCGTTTTGTCCGAGTTCGTTCACTCGGTTACTGTAGGTGGCTATCGTTGCCCCTCCGACGTAAGGTCTTATCTCAATTTCCTTGTGAGCCCTGTTTTACATATAAATCCATGCTTTCCGGGGTCCGTGCAGAAATCGAGATATGCCGTTACGCTAGAGGAGCGACGCTATGTGACTTGGTTTGTAGGCAGACGCGTTTTCACTGTCAATGGAATTCTATTTTTGCCGCGCAGCGTTGGTTTTAGCTCGACGAGCTCACCGGCCGCAAAGTTGGATTCGTCGTTATTTTCAGGGGTTCATACGTACTCAAAATACTAAGGATGTTTCGGCCGCTATTGTTCGCGGAGGAACAACTTCATCGGTCAAAAATCACAGTAAAATAACAACTGGACTTCATTTTGCAACTAGGAACTATAATTTCTGGCTCATTCGTGAAACCACTTACGTTCATAGGAGAGCTAATGGTGCATACATTGTTTCGAAATTGAGCCAGAAGTTACATACTTCCGAATTGAAAAATGTAGTCCGATTTAATCGGGGGAAAGGCTGCTGCAAATATAAAAGAGCAAAGGCAAAAAAACTGGATTTGATATTTGATATTTTGGAACAGCCTTTCCCCAGATCGAGTTGATATTTTATTTTTATTTTTATTGCATTCGTAAAAACTCTGCACCAAAAAAATAAATAATAATTGGTGCTGATATGACTTATATGAATGGTGCACTCTGCCTATAGGACTCCCGAGATCTCGTTTGTTAGACTTACTGAATATTTTGGCATAAAAAGAGAAGAGAAGAGAGCTTCCGTCGTGAGCGCACAGTGCTCAGTGTTTATAACAGAAACATTCTGTGAATGTGACAAAAAAAGCTTGGGGGCTTTGAGCTTTTGCTATAAAATCTTCCTATGAGAAAATGCTTTTCCAGAATTCTATGGTCTTTTGTGACAAGGTTAATTTCTGAAAGTACGCAGTTGGTTAAAGGCGATTGTTTGTTTTATTTTTGCCAATTAGGCACTAAACCTTTCGCTGGAATCGATATCACGATCGTTTATAGCAAATCCTTATCGCAAAACTTCAGGCATATTTTGAAATCGTGCGGTCATAATGTACTGCTGAACGCACCTTATCGGGTTCGATGCCCTCATGACGACGCGACGAGTGATTAAAATTTGAAAAAAGAACTGCCCCCCAGAAAAAAAAAATCAGGGCACGGAGCTGATTAGAAGGGCAATGTACCGGACGGTAGTAAATGACCCGAATAACGATAAAAAAAAAAAAACTTTAGACTAGTATGAACATAAAATCCGGTGAAAGTCGGGAGTAAAATCAATAATACCAAGACAGAAATTACTCGCCGGAGATATTAATTAAACACGTTGCCACCGGAGCGAACGAGAATTTAGTAATACATTTTATTGGCGGCCAAGTTTGATCTTAAATAGAGACCAGGGTAAAAATTTTACGAGTTGCTCCGATTATAAAAGTATCCGTGAAACGTTAAAATAGATTGGTTGCAGGGAACAGAGTTTTTAGTGGAATAATGAGTGCGATGGAGAGGTGATGGTCGATCTTTTTGTGGAGTAATTGTTACCTAAACACACGGTCCCTAATTAATTTATGATTTGATGGAAAAGAAATGTTACAAATCAGCTTATTTAAATCGACAGCTTCATTACACTTCTCCAGTAATTTTGATATAAGAACGTTCAATTTTGACAGAAAATATCGCACAAAATTCCATTTTAAAACCCGTTTTGAGCTGCAAATACTTGCTAAAAGAGGAGCCATGAAGCTATACGGGTATCGCTGGGAGACCGGGTAGATAACTATTCGAGCTCTGCGGTTGTGCTCATTGCATAACTGATAATTTGAAGGCAATTTTGCTGCTCATGCATTTTTCGCCAATTCACCACCTAAGAATCTAAGACGAATGTTGACGTGCTGATCTTCGTGTATGATCGCGTTCCACCATTTCTCCCTTTCGAAATCATGTTTTCTTCAGTTATCAACTGATCTTATTTAAATGAATAGAATGATTCCGCTAGAACAGCTAAATTAATCTGTGGGGCTCGTTCAATATAATTCTTTGTAGAGACATTTTTTGACCTATTTTCTCAACCCTTCAAGTGTAACTGTATTAACCCTGTTACTATTCTCTCCGGTAAATTTCTAAGAGTCATATGGAGGATAATGGACGATTTTAAGAAGTCTGGAGGACTTTATTGATAGAATTATTACCTGAGGCACTTTTCGGCCCATTTTCTCAACCCTCCAAATGTAGAGTTACTACTGGAGTGCTGGGTGCCTAGTTTTTATTCATTTTTAGAAATCCCGATGAAATCCTGATTTTTCCTGATTTTCGACTGCTAAATCCTGATTTCAATGTTTTTCCAAATCCTGACTTTTTGCGTGGAAAAATTAATGAAAAATAACTTCACATAAGAAAATCCGATCGAAAGGCCGACTTTTCTCAAATCCTGATTTTGCGACCGATTTTTCCTCCAATCCCGATGAAATCGGGATTAAATCCTGATTGACCTCAAATCCTGATAGTTGAGAAAATCCTGTTGCTAGACACCCTGTACTACTGTCTCTAGTAACACGGCAGGATTAATGGAGGAACGAACGCTTAATATATTTTATGAATGAACCCAAATTGAGCATGCGACGGGTGCAAGGGTGAGTGGGCTTACCTTATTCGCGCTGACTTCGACGATGACGTAGACGAGGAGGACGACTTCCTGCTCGTCGGAGCCGAGAGCGTTCCCCTGGAGGCCGGCCGTGGCCACGTAGAGGACGCACAAGTGCTGCGGGCTCTTCATCTTCATTTCGCTCGGGATCGCGGTCCGGAGTCCGGGTCGCCGCCGCTCGGGCCCAACTCCTCCTCAACAGTGGCCCAGTCTCCGCCAAAACCACGTCATGACGTCAGACGCGGGGCCAGTCACGCCCGTCATACCACCCGATCCTGAAACACACAAATATAACACGTCATTACTTTTATATACCTTCATACGTCCACCGCAAATGTTCAGGGTGGGGAAAAAATTGGACTAAATTTTGCAATTTGGAACTACAATTTCTGTCACAATATAGAAACGACGCATGTACAATTTGTTTTCCTCAGTACATAAGTTGTTTTTTTAATGGATGAGCGAGAAGTTGTAGTTCATAAAAAAAAGTGAAGCCCAATGGTTCTGTGGCACACCTAAGAGAAAGCAAACCAGATGAATTTTATAGTGGGAAAATCACAAGAAAAATACATTGATCAGCTGCAGGGTGATTATTGAAATTGATAGACAAAGCTTTAGACAAAGAGAACAAGATAAAATGGAGCGATCCTTGGATGCGATGGACAAACGTAACTAGTAATAGAATAACTAAGGAGGGACCCTATACGTAGTGCAGCACATCACTTTTCCTCTTAGTCTGTGACAACCATCCATTTCAAATGATAGGATTGTTCCATTTTCATTCTGTCTTCTTTGTTTATCGCTATGTTTATCAATCGCAATAATTAGCCCGCCTAGGTTCAGAAGTTTAGGGTGAATACTTGACTATGCCACCAATACCTCTTGAAGAGGTAACCAGATTGCCTAGCCCACGCACAGACAGCTCAGCGACTTAAACGCAGGCGTAGAAAAGTAAACCATTTCATATCGTCAATATGAACCATCCGTTTCAACCGACATAATTGCTCCATTATATAATTTCGTCAACTTAAAGTTCAAAGATTAAAGTGTTCGCAAACGTAAAGAAATCGGAAAATCTAATTCTATAGAATACAGACTACCCAAATCGTACGTTGTGAAGTGGACCGTGCACTTCAGTAATTGGCTCAGCGAGATTTTCATGCAATTTTTTACAATGTTTGTCGACTTAATTTGCTACATCTCGCCTGTACCACAGATCTATTCAACAACTGATCATTGACCTGGTGAGATGATCTTAAAATTTTTAGGCTCAAGTAGGTACTCATGGCCCGATGGTCGCTCACTTGACCTTAATTGAGAAAAAAAGGCCAAAATGAGGCTCATGCGTGATTATGAAGCAGATCATTAATTCGAAACGGGGAGCGCTTCTTTCGTCCAAAAGAAATGCATTTCATCTCCCAGAGATAAACCCAATTGCCGGTGATCTGATGACATTTTTGAGATTTCCCCACCTTTCATAAAACGGCTAATCCTCAGCCAACCGACAATTAGCCGGACAAAAAATGTCTTCAAAAGATGACCAACTTATTCCCGCGAGGAAAAACTCGCAAACTCCGGGACGGTAATTACGATGAAATTCACAAAAAAACTTGAAATTACGGCCAATTCATCAAAATTCGTTGGGGTCTAGAGAGGACCGCTTCGTCCGCTAGAGCATTACTGCCGCGCTAGCAAGAAACAACGTAAGAAAATTCGAACGCTGCCAAATTTCATCTGATAAAATCGGACCTTACCAACTGCAAACTTGTAAATTTTGTCTCCGAATTTTCCAGAGTTATCTTAATAATTTAATCCTCTCTATCGATGGTGAAACTACCACACCATATGGACGTATTTCTATCAAACGGAACTATGTGCATTTTGACGTGAGCCCAGTTATGCGCATGACCTTATGGGTCTCAGGGCTCATGTCTTAATGCACTCTCGTATTTGATCAATTAGGTGGGAAACTGCTCTTTGTAAGTCTATTCTTTGAAAACTGCTGTGACTTTTTTTTCCTGCATGCAGAAATCTTCATGAAAACTTCAAGAAATAATATTGATTTGCTCTCCTTCAAAAATAAAATGGTAGCGGAGCTTTTTAAACACCGCAAACGAGATACGTGGTCTGGTCGTTTCGTTGTCAATACACTGGAAAGAAAAAAAAAAAAGAAAAAAAAAAAAAAAAAAAAAAAAAAAAAAAA